CACAGACGTTGACCGGAAGATTAAGTACCAACAGAGTTTGCAACTATTTGGTGATCATGAGCATTCTTTTGATGGTTAGGGTGTACACGTGGGATGCGCTCAGTCACACGTCGGTTGTGACCAAGTTCGATCAAGTGATTTATGAGTAATTCCTTACGCATTGTTCATTGATGCCCTGTGTTCTTGGGTAAAATGAGAGTTAATCGACAACAAGGGAACAAAAACGGTAAAAAAGTATTAGATAAAACTCCGAATTTTCAGCAAAAATACCATCCTTAAAACCATTTTTTGTCAAACTTATTCTGACACTATTTTAAAATCACAATTAGCCAATTTAAAAATAACCTCTATAGAAGATAACATGACGATTCAGAGTCAGAAAGCATCCTGTCGGTAAAAACACAGATAATCTTAAATACTTGTGAACGTTATAGATTGATTAAACTGTTGTGAATCGCACCGATTCACGCTCGTGAACTTGGTCGCTCTCTCCCGCATGTTTCACACCATGCCGTCAGCAGAGCGGAAGCTCAACTCGCGCTGAACTAGCTCGGACGTTTAGCCTTGGCCATCCACTACGTGTGGTAACATTCACCTAGGTCACGATTTAGCAAACCAATGACTCACCCTGTTTTACACTTCTCAACTATGAATGCACACACCAGACAGGACACATCGACAGCACACAACTTGGTTAAGCTGTCTGTCTCCTGTCTCCTTCACCTTCACCGGTATTGGGATTGTGTAATCTGGGCAGATTCAATCCGGTGGCGCCGGCGTGGTTCGATACCGCATTCTGGGGCCCACAACGAGACCTTCTAACTAACGTAACAGGACTTTTTGCCTAATTACTTCGATTTCAAAGTCTGTGGGACAAGTTTTTAAGATTGAAGTTGCATCGGCTTCGGCTGCCTCACTGCTTCTAATCCAAATCGGAGTTGAAACCTACCTTGAGACAGAACACTTGCATTTTGGGCTGCATAATTAGTGTTGAGCGTCTTGCTGCCTAGGATAGTGGAAATCTACCGAAGTAACCCATAGTGATAACACATGAGGAGCTAAATCTATGCAATAAATTTCACTTGAAAATCGCGTATAAACTGGTTTGCAAGTCCCTTGAATTAGTGCATTGTTATGGTGCGAAGAAAAGGAACTCTCGCCGAGCAAATTCTTTAATGTTTAACGCGACCGAGATGTCCGATGGACAGCCGTGGTCGCTTTTAAAGCAGACCAATTACGGAGTACATATTTCTTCATGAAAAAGATTCATATAAGTTATCCAAACTCGGATCATTTCGCCTAAGGTACGTGAAGTGGATAACATAGTGTGTGCCTAATCAAAACAAAACTACACGTTTAAAATTGCTCAAAATCGGTGTCTTTCAAGGTGTTTTTAAAACTTGGCTTAAAAGGGCTGAAAAGTTGTGATGGCAAACAAGTCTCTTGCTTACACCCTATAAAGAAATCCGAATTGAGATCTCTGAACCTCATTAAAGTAGCCATATCGCGTTCGCTCTTAGTTGTTATTCATATTATCATATTTTACAATAAACAAAACAGAAGCATGCATCTACGGCTTTGAAGAATCATAAACACCAAGTTACTGGTGAAAATGCATCCAGTCATTACCCGAAACACGTACGGTTACATTTCATATTTTCATTTTAGAGTATCATCATTTGCGTTAGCCAATTGAAGTTAATTCAGGGCACCTAAAATTGGTAGCAACCACATTGCACATATCGATGCTAAGCTGACTGATCACACAATCGATATACCAGGCAAAATTGACTTTAGGCACATGTGATTGCTTCCGCTACCACAACAAATTAGACATCACTGAATCCGCTGGTAACAGGGCATGAGATGGTGGAATAGAATGCTAGGAGCATTGCGCAGACGGACACAAAAAAGGAACATTTAATCGTCGATTTGCCACTTAAAACATCAAATCGCCGTTGTTATTACCTTTTTCGGAGACAGTTCTTGGAGACTTTCTTACAGCATGGCAAGCGATTTCAGGATTCGTGTTTTTATTTTAATTTTGGCAGTGGTTAGGGGATTATAGTCAGGAGATATCCTCAATTCCAATTGTAGCCTTCTCGACTTATTCCCACTGAACGACGTCCTACCTCTACAGCATTTGGGCATTTGTCGTAAGGTTGTGATATAAAGTGTTTGGGCAATTTTTTTGAATTTTTACGTCAGGTCCAGAGTTGTAAATGTACAGACACTACTAGGCATGTCCGAGCAATGCTTGAACGTGTGCAAACTACCAGTCCTAGTTGAAACCTTTAGTGTTTGTGTTGACCCAATAACAAGCAATCCAACTCTACTTTTGCAACCTTTAACGGCCTGCTCTTAGGGCTTGTTTTTAAACTTTTTTTGTGACTTCACTTTAAACACGAGATGCGACATGTGAGATGTAGTTTTGTTTAACCTCAAAGAAAGTGCGAAAATTGTTCAGTTTTTTTGTCGGCTCCAGTAGGTCCTCACACGACTGCCTACGTTCTGACCAGCTGAGCAGCTGCGCACCTTTGCTAAGGACAAGCTGCACTTACAACAAGTCACGTCCATAAAAGAGCAGCATTTCGACTAACCAGTGTATTTCAAAATGCGTTTACTGCTGCTTCTCATCACCATTTCCACCCTTGCAGTCTGTTCTCAGGCGGGTGAGTGCTCCTACCTTTTACGACCATTTTTTAAAGATGTATCAAAAATCCAGATTCTTACATGAGTATTAAGCATCTTTGTACTGAACCAAATCATAGAAGCCAGTGTTTATGAAAGAATTAAAGTTTCCTAACTGGATAGCGAATTCGGGGGAATGCATAGTACATTATGCGGGGTTATGACGCGATGTGTCTGTTGACTCCAAACCACGCTGGGGCCACTGCTTTGAATTCACCTCGCAGTCCTGATACCCGCAGAGGTGGAGACAGGAGACGCATGGCCGCAATTGTTTACAGGATGGCTCAGTCAGGTTTTTATCTTCGTGTCGTGCGTGGGGTTGGCGTGAGTGCTCAGACGTATGAAACAGTGTGAGTCAGGGGTGCTGACATCGAGACTTAGGTGAATGATACCAGTGTGGGTTGAGGTTCACTATTGGTTGACGGCTGGTTGTGAATAGGGGAGCGTTGTGTTGCAGAATGGACCTATCGGATTAACGAGCCTGAATCAACGAGATTCACAACACACTCAACCGGGATGTTTATTTAACTCACTAATTTCATAAAGTGGATTCACAATTAAAGAACTTCAATAATTCTGCTTCTAGAAGCTGACCACTTGGTAGTAGAAACTTGCAAACTCGTTGCAACCATTAATATGTCGATTTAGTTCAATTTTTAGAAGATTAACGATGACGTGAACACCGTTCGCTTTGTTTGCAAATAACTTCGGATTCACCAAATAGCGATCAAACACAACATGAAAGCTTTTGACATCACGTGGGTACCCACACTGAGGATGGGGGGGTAATCGCGTGGGAGCAGTAAAAATCCCGGGGATGGATCATCGATCCATTTCAGTGGACCACCCAATCAACTGTCTGGTCCAATTACTGGAGCTGAAATAATTTTCACATGTTATTACTCACATAAATTTACTCATTCAGCGTCCGATTTTAATGTGTTGAGAGGTTTTAATCAATTTGAATCTACACCAGGCGTGATAATAGTGTATTCTAAAGGTCTGCGGCCAGTAAACATCCAGGGAGAATTAGAACAATCTGTATAACGATTAATTTCAGGACATTTCCAAACCTAGAGAACAACCCACAGGCAGGTGCTCCTTTTGGCATTTTTAGACTGTCTGAACGAGGGCGGTTGGTGCTGGTTTGATGCGAAGCCCTGCTGCGGAGACTTGCATTGTGAGCTGTTCAGGTGCGCGAAGTGCAACCAAAATGGCGACTTTTGCCTTAAAAATTCTTGGTGCTGTTCCGGTCGGTGCGAAGCACTCCAATGCCAACCCGTAAAACAAGGCAGCAAGCGACGTGGCCTATTCTAAATTCTCTCTTGTCTACCCTCTAACTTAAAAAAAATAAATATCTCATTGGTTTAATTTCTGGAATTGAATAATTCAGCTTTAAAAATGCTACAGATGATGAACTTTCAGATAAGCACTAAACGAAATTTTTCGAATATCCGAGTAAAAATGCCAATTGAGGAGGTTGGCTCCTCTGAAAAAAATTATTTTGGCTGTGAGGTTTTAATTTGAGCAAGTTTTAATGGAAGGCTCCTAGAGATGATACTTTTGAAATGAAAGGTGAAATTTATGTCACCGTAAGAAACGTGGTGTTTGAGAAAATCTACTTCACATTATTAGTAAAGGTAATTTGTAGGTTGTACATCGCAATTTCGTCACTGCGTCCGAACACTATGCAGAGAGATATTCAAAGCAGAAACATTTGCACAACTGTTTATGTTAGCCAGGTCTGTGTTGAGAGGAAGCTTATCAACACAACGGATGACGCTTGATTCTTAAAAAACGGCAAACTAAGTATTTACAACGTAAAGCCTGTAATCCATGCGTGTTTAATTAGCTGAGGGTTCAAGGTTGTCTGGACAGTAGGCCACTGGTAAAACGTGTGATCCGGCGCAGAACCAATTGTATGTGACAGTGGAAGTCAGGTTATGACTGGAATTACCACGCCTGAGTAAAGCTTCGGGTGATAGAGAGCATTGATATCTTTTCTTGTAAAATGTGTCAGTACGACATTACTTAATTTTAACACTTCAGTGCAACTTGTGGACACAGTCTAGGAAAAATTCGGTATTTACAGGTATTTTTCTTCTATTAGATGCAAAAACATAAAACTGGTAAAAACTTGGTCAATTTGCATTTTGGCATACAGCTCTTCTCTGCCTGAAATATTATTATTAAAAAAGGGATGATTTCTTAATTAAAAGGTAACAACTTGAATATTGGATGCAAGGATTACAAAATGAAGGCTTGAGAGCCTGCGAAATGTTTTTTTGCAAATTTGAAATCCCAGATATTCACCAGTTCTTGGCAAAGACGCTTCGCGCAAAACTTGGAAAACCAACGATTGAAAAGTCGGTAATGACAATTCCTTGTAGCCATTTCAGTCCATTCAACCAGGCTTTGACGATGGCGTTCGCCATTTCGGCCAACTTTTGAATTCCGCTTCCGGAATTAGACAGAATGTAATCCAAGTCAGGTGATAATATGCCCTGGAATACGAAGAAATTCGCACTCTTGTTCGCACGCATCCAGGTACTAAAGTAGGCAAAGAGATCCAAGCAATTAGAAAGTAGCGAAGTCTCTTATTTGGCTGGAACACAAATCTTCACCATAATTTTATTGTTGCCCAGCATTTCAAGAAAAGATATTGAATCGCATGATAAAGCTGAACCTGTGCACAGGACTTGATGGATAAAATGTAATTAAATTGGAGGACTTCTTTCATGCTAATTGATACACTGCAAATCAACTCTCTTCGCGGTTCAACTAAAGTGAATTCTTGCAGATTTCTCTCTTGCGTAGAGAGCATAATGCTTGGAATTTGTTTCCTAGAGAGAGAGTCTTGTTTTAACAAAGTTGCTCGATTGACTGCGTCAGTTGATCAAACGTCACCATATATCGATTTTGGCCTGAATTTGCTTTGGAGTGAAGCAGTCCAACTTACGTGTACTCGTTGGAAAGGAAAGTGCCCAAGTTGTCTGGACTTCGAGTATCGGGCCAAGGTTGCCTAATGGAGGATCTCGGCCATAGCACCGAATCACCGTCTTCATGTTCTTTGGGCTTCTTTTCATACCCCATGACGATTACCTGCTTCCCGCGAGACCACAAATCAGAGAGAGTCGGTATTTGGTTCCTGTAAGGTTCAAGTCTGTCCCTAAAGGTCTATTTAAATGTTCGATTTGAGTGATTCTTGTCTCCATCTGTCAGGATGGTGCTGTCGCGCTAATTTATCCCTTAAAATGCTTCAACATATGTAAAAAAATGCTGTAATAGCAATCCAAAGGTGCACTAGAGACAAGCATTTAAATCGTACAACTTACATCTTTAATAAAATCCTTAAATGCGAGCTTTAGGGAAGCGTTGAAGTCGTAGAAATGCTGAAAATCAACAATGACAACTTCCTTTGGGTGGGTTTTGAGGAAGGAATTGATCACCTGGAGTTCTTCATCAACTCTCTTAGCGTACAGACCATGCACCAAATAGAAGCAAGATTGAACTTCCAGTGAGGAATTCGAGGTCGAAGCCACACAGCCGGGAGTTCGCATTGCAATTCTCATGTCAAAGTATCGGATTCCACATTGAAGTTGAGTCATGAAGTCTGCTCTCTGTGTTACGGACCAATCGGAAAGCCGTATATTGAAGAAGTAGCCTAGGAAGCTGATTAGAAGCCCAAACTTTAAATCTGGAGCTGTCGGAGACGATTCCTGAATGCTGTAACTGCCCGCATTATGGGTTCCTATCAAATATAAACTGATAACACAATTTGGCAGAAATCTCTGAGCATAATTACTTTCACTGCCATTTGAATCATAATACACAGCAATTAAAAAGAGCAAATTATCCGTCATACTGCTACTATTACTACTACTTTCTTCTAGTTCTAGGATAATTTGCTTTGTAATTCTGTTGGCATGTTCGTTTCCTTAAGGTGTACTCTTCTAAAGCGTTGTAGAGTTGCATACTTCAAACTTAGAAGCGCTCAGAACCAATTTTTTGCAGATTAATCCAAAGACAATTTAATTTCATTGAACTGGACATAAAGAAAAACTGTGAATGTCAAAACAAACATTAATTACCTTTGCTGGCCGTGAACTTGGCACTTGATTTGACTCTAAACATGAACTTGGTTTAACTGTAAACACTATACTTAGGGCCTTTAAATTTAAAATCATTTAAATGTCCTAGAGCAGGTCACAAAACCACGAACGGAAAGTGCAATCGGTGCTACATCAAAAGCACATTCAACTTGCATGAACTATAAACACTACACTAGATGCACTTTAATTTAAGATCATTTAAACCTGTCGAAGTGGATCACAAATCCACAAGCAGAAAAGGGGAATCAGCATTGCTTAAAAGCCAAATTTTACTTACCAGGAATGGCAATTTGCGAAAGAGGCCTCCGTGTTACCTCTAACGGCAAGTGGGACATCCAGTTACTGGCGGGCACTTCGTCCTGCAAAAGTATGCAAGTCAGGCTACTCCGAACTGCTCACAGACTTTATAAGTGACTAAACACGTTAGGACACATCAGTGTTGTCCTGGTGCCAGCTAAGTTTCCTTTAAATGAACTGCTCATCAATGCGTTTGAATTTGCCGGCTCGGGAACCACTCCGCTGTGCTCAAATTTGAGGTCATGGCAAATCACGTTCAATCATCGAAAGTTTTACTTAGAAAGAGGTTGATTTTTAGGCTATTTCGCTTAGAGCAGTTTGGGGATTAAAGTTCAGAAGAGGAATAACTGCTTGGCTTGTGAAGTCGTACAGCAATTAGCTCTTAGTAACACTGCCACTGATCTTTTACGTAATAAACTAGTAAAGCACAAGTGTGAAAAAATGATTGAAAATACTGTCCCACTTACCGACGGCAATAACCGTACTGATCTCGGTAGAACAGGCTAAAGGTTGTTGTCATTAGCTACAGTATAAACCTACAAGGAAACAAATTGTGAGCTGAGAAATTAGATTTGGTAAATCTACTTACAAGTACAATTGCTATAAGAAACATGGTCTGAGCCACAGGCCGCTGACTTTTGCTTTAAATGGCATTGTCCGAAATGCAAACATGCACGTGTTTAAATCCATCCTGATCGCGTCCACCAAGTAGCGGACATCGAGTGTGTGTGTGTGTGTGCGTGAGTGTGGTGCCGAAGCTAAGCGACAGCCAATGCGGTGGCAACGTAGTTGCAACGTAAGAAACTCATTAAAATAGGATCATCTTCTAATACTTGCGACTGCAGTAGGTTTGTGTCAATGTAGGTTTGAAATAAGTAAAAAGACTGTTTTGCATGTACTAATTTGAGGGCTAATTTATTAAACTGAGGCTAGCGTTCGTGGTTTGTTGATAATACAGGGATGGTACACACCATACCTTGCTCTCTTGATTCTCACTATTTGCTATCTCTTGTGACTTCACTGGACGTAAATCTACACTGGTGTAGGTGTTGGAAGAACTGAGCACTAGGTGTCTTTTCTGGAGAACCAGATCAGCATGCTGGATCTGATTGGCAGACGCCTTACTTTACAGGAATGCCACCATATTTTAGCTAATACATTAAACACGAAATGCCCAGTCGCCCATTTGTAAAGAAACTTTGTTGCATAACTGCACCTACTTAATGCTCCAAGTATCTTAATGAAACCACGGATCGTCACCAATGATCAGTCAGGCATAATTCCTTCACCCTGGTTGCCAAACACGCCAAATCTGCATTATTTTACAATACGTGGGAAAAATTCAAACGTGGCAAAAGTTACAAGTAAAGTTTTACAACTGTAATTCAAGGAAATTTTCGCTGCAGTGTACGGCTGAAAAAATTCTCTCCGATAGTTAGCAGAAACTATTTGAGAATAGTTGCCCACCAGTTCGATAAAAACGTTTTGGTTGCTATATTTGTATATAAATTCCACGTTTTTACTTTTGACGTCGTGGTACAACTGCTGACAGAATTTACTGCCTGGACCAGTTTTCCAATAGGCATGATTTAGACAATATTTGAATATGAGCTACAATAGCGCAGAGATTGTCCCTATTGTGTGGCAGTTTAAACACATTAAGTTGCTAAAAATAACTACAGATGGTTTTAGACTGATTAGAATTCAGGTGCGTTTGCATAAATTAGGATAATGTGAAATATTTTCCTTGCTCTTTGGTAAAAATTAATATAATGGCCCCTAACAACCAAGCTAGTACGCTGCATTCAGTATTGTAGACCCAATTAAGCCGCCACCCCTAACACTACCACAGAACACAGCATTCCAAAACGAACCTTACTTAATAAATACAAGTTTGTAGTTAATTTCCCCACATTTTCTTAAAATGCAATCATTATTCCCAAAAACGAGCTTACTCAATATCGGGCATGTTAATACTAGTTTGAAATGACAGTATTTGATTTTGAGCATGCGTTTATATGCGACTCATTTAGGTTCTACGGCCTGCACATAAAAGTCCGTTTTCACCTCCAAGTCTTTTCATTTGCTACCGCAAGTTTTCATGAACTGCCACTGCTTGGTTGCCCCAAGGTGCACTAAGCTACACTGCTAGCAATCATTTGTTATCCTTGCCCCAGCATTTGAACTACCCAAACGCGAGGTCTTTTGAAAGGCAACTTTGTAGAGTTTATTATTGGTATTAAGTGACATTACTTTCTCAACCAGTCTGTAGTAATCAATTTATATGCCAAGTTAGCCACTTGCTAGCGTTCCGTGTCACGAATTGTAGAAGCCCTAGTAGGAGTTGGGGAACCACACCGAAAAGGCCACTTATTGAAGCCCAGTTGAGCTACTCAGAGAAAGTGTCATAGAGAGGATGACGCAGTTTGGTCATTTGTATGAGTTTTAATGCTCTAGGCAAGTGCCTATTTTGTGGGTTGAATATATGCAAAGAAGAGATAGGTGTGAGGGGGTGCAAAATTAAGTGTGCCAGAACAAGGAATGAAGGCGCTTTGATCATTGACAGGGGGATAGACGTTAACTAAAACTACTAGAGACTGAGTGCAGATATTAATTTCAAGTCTTGCGGAGGTTTAGTGGCTGAGGATTAATGTCACTTAAAATAATCAATATTATTGCATGCCAAAATGCACACATATAGACCGCATTTTTTGCACATTTGCAGCAAGTGACCGTCGACATAAAGGTAAGATTTTACTTAAAAGCAACCTTCAGGTAAGGTCAGAGGCTTTTTGATTTAGACAGTTTAGGAATAAAATCATAGTAATAAGTAATAAGTGCGTGTTATGGTGGCATCTTGAAACAGAAAAAGATTAATTTAGGTGATTCATTAAAGCTAATAAAGGCCGCCACAAACAGCCTTATAAGTCTTATCCATACAATTTTGAGATATTCGGGGTAGTTCCTATCTGCGAATCTAATTTAACCAATTCATCGGAACTTAGATTAAATCAAATTATTTATGCCAAAAATTAAAAAAGTAAACATAAGTATGGATTTCGGATGAATCCATACTAGGCATCAAATCTGCTGTTTTAATTTTAAAACCTCATTTATGAAAACATGAAAATAGGTTGTACGAATGGAAGAATTGCCTGCACACGATCGTAAGTAAAGCTTGCGCAATGGTACCAATGACTCCTGGTTGCTGTGGATAATCGAAAGTCGATCTCATGAATTCTCACAAAAAGATTGTATTTTCTGTCTCTTGCCTTCTCTTTGCTCTCTTGTTGCTAAAGTTTCGCTGTGAATCGTATTTATTAACAGCCCTTGATCCGGTCTCTCCACCTCCGACACAGGGTTCCCCTTTTCGCAGCATGTCTTCAGCCCTTGCCGTTCCTCAACTTCTCCCTCATTCACACGGAAATGTATTTAGGATTATCCTCACGCGTAGGTCTCGATGTTAGCGTGTCCATGACTCACACATCCCAGGTACAAATACACACGCGCAAACCCCACACACCACACAACGACATCAACGAGGTTGAGCTCTGAAGTAAACTGTTGTGTTCGCGCCTTCTGGTCTTTTTCTTCATTGCGGGCATCAGGGAAGCGTAATGGGGCCAGAGTTAATTCAGTGGCCCCGACGTGGTTCAAATCCACATGCTGGGGCCTAAAACAGGTTGTGAAATAAAAGTGTGATGATATGGTGAAAGCGAACCAATACAATATTCTAAACCCGTTTACGAAATGCATTACCGACCACAAAGCAAAGTTTCGAATATTGTCCTGACTACCATCATTTTGAATTTTGGTAAGGAAAGTGACACTCCTTGCAAGTTCAACGCCCCTCCTAACACAAGCTCTTCACCTGCATGTTAATGCAATAAACCCCAATCTCTGGTTTCCTGAAAGGGTCTTGCAATTACAATAAGACTCTACACATGGCTTATATCAGAGTGCACTGAAACCTCCTATTCTACAATATACTGACTTCTTAAAGGTAAATTATTTGACAAATAATTTGCAGTTGTAGGTCTAACGTATCTACGACAAAAGTTCGTAAATTAAATTAACTGTTAAATTTAAGGTTCAGTTGGTGGTTCAACTGTATTCCTTGTCAGACTGGGCAAAAGCATGCAAATTTGAAATAGCAAGAAAGGATTACAATCATATAAAATTTTTAAAGAAACTCTTAGAAGAACGGCAATATTTATTGTGACAGAGACACAAAGAAAACCACACTCCTTCACTTCATTCGTGATAAAGCTAAGCATGAAATTGCCTTATAATTCCCAAAGAGAACTCACGATTATATGGATTGTAACTAACTTGCTCACTTAGTTTGCAATAGCGTAGAAATCGGCACACCGTAGAATGTGTCTAATCTTACATTGACAGGCCAGCCGAGTTGATGTCACTAATGCATGAGGATGATAAGGTATTTAAAGTTACTCAGAGAAGGCAAAACTCTAAAATATTATTGGAGCTCATCATCTTTAACCTGAATATGCAGCCGTTACTTTGCTTTAAAACCGAACATAAATAAAAGACACCAATCCTTAGTTTGCTAAAACAACCATGGGAGATCGGTGACCATTTCAAATCACTAGTTAATTGCATTTTTTTAAAAGCAGTGATTTCGAAACAATGAGGCAAATAAAAAGCTACGTAAACAGTCCTGAATTTCTTAACTTTGCTATTCCTTTTATACATTACCCATTTTCGATGTCGATTTGTATTGCTTGTATTGTAGTATACACCAGCCATAGCATAAGCGGAAAGATACAATGTGGACCACTCACTCTACGAACCGAACCAATCCACCGGGCTCTTACCATCCGAGCGCACTCCCCAGTCTCTGCCACCCTTAATATAACGTCCCCCAACCAGCCTTGTATCTGGTTAGTTGTTGATATCCCTCAAGGTCAACCACACAAGTCCAGACTGATTGGCTGAGTTCGGCGTGAATCAAGATGAATGCGCCCTTGTCGACACATTTGAATTTCCCCACGTAACTCCAGGACATGGCAATTTTAGATTGTTTGGCAAAGGGGAAGGACATTCTAATAAGTCCAGCTTTCAGTAGTCTAATTTTGCCATTTGTCTGGTTGGCAGATATATCGTTTTCCATCTACGTAATTCTGAAGGTTGCATGTACGTTTATTTACTTATTGAATGTCGTAGATACTGAGATCGACTGGATTGCTTACATGCAACAAACTGAGACATTTTTAAATGGCACCCTTGACTATGATCAGCTTATTGGTCAAACTGGGCCCTGTGTGTAAGGCACAGAGCATTTGCGATTGTCGTCTTTCTAGATATCCGGCTGGGCACGTCTACGTTTGTTCTATTTTGTACTTCTTAACCGACCATGGCTTAAACATATTTAAAGCTCAATGCATATTCCTTGGGGTCTACGCGCTCTCCCTTGGATTAATATTTAATATCTATCGAAAAATTTCAAAGGTATGTCGTAGAATTATGCAATCTAATCTCTAGGTCCCACTTTTTTCTATTCTGATTATGTCTTTTGCTTCCTATCGAGTGCATTCAATTTATCTGCTGCGTCTATTTAATGATCCTTGGGCAATGCTTTTTCTTTATTCTTCTATAAACTGGTGTCTATACAACCATTTCACCTGTGCTGCAGTATTTTTCAGGTAGTTGACGGAGTTATGCTTTTAGAGACCATCATCGGTTTTTTGTGCTTATGCTAAGCGATGTTACTTTTAGCATTGCAGTCGGAATAAAGATGAATATTCTGCTATTCGCTCCTGGTCTACTTCTAGTTCTTCTCAAACACCGTGGCCTCTATGAAACACTTGGACACCTGGCCGAATGTGGCATCGTTCAGGTATTATACGCATATCTACCTATCAGCTATGCAAATTTTCTGATAGTTCTTCGCTTTTTTGTTATTCGTTAATACAAAGAGGCTGAACGGCTAGGCTTATCTCTCTCATGCTCAATTAAAAAAATGAGTCCTGGTTTTACCTAAGTAAATTATTGGCTGTTACTCTGAAAAGTCAAGTAGCTGCTATGGTTCAGCATAAATTCAAGAGTCTGGTCTGTTTTTTGTAATAAAAAAACTGGTTATCGTTCTAGATTCAACTGGATGAATTTGCCTTGTTTTAGGTCTTATTAGGGGCCATCTTCCTGTTCCGGAACTCTGAAGCGTATTTCAGTCGTGCCTTTGAATTCAGTCGGCAGTTCATGTACAAATGGACGGTAAACTGGAAGGTTGTTCCTGAATCCCTTTTTCTCGATCGACGATTCCAAGTTGCACTACTGGTCTTGCACATTGTCTTTCTCACATTCTTCCTTGTCAAGTTTGTCAGGTAATCCTTCTGCTTCATCCCGAAAACTCTCATATGACTTCGTTATTTAAACTGAAGGCTGTAGTATATCTAAGAAAATCATTCTTCACTTGAAATGAATTGATTATCGATTAACGGTAGTGCTTCACATTATTGTCCTTTTTGCACTTCAGGAACTAAACTCGATCTATTTTCACGTGAATTGTTAATTGTGATTATTTCTATGTGGTGTATTCCTAAATAGATTTGATTTGTGAATTTCTATGATCATGTTCCAATTAAATTGCTAATCTGGGCCTCAAATTTCAGATCACGTGGGGGATTCAAACGTTTCCTGGAGCCACTGCCACCCTCGACTAAACTGGCAGTTTGCGCTGATGGTAAGTAAATTTGTTATTTCCCATTTATTTTTTCTGGATTGTCTTTCAAACCATTTCTTCATCTAGATGTTCTGTATCCGATGTTCGTATCAAACTTCATTGGCATCGCATTTAGTCGTTCCTTGCATTACCAATTCTACGTTTGGTACTACCACACCATCCCGTTTCTTCTTTGGTCAGTGACGCCTTTTTCTAATACAATAAGGTAAGATCTGACAACTTCTGTCAAAATTCCCGTGCCGTTTTCCCTGGTAGCACTCTTCTAATCTCAACCTGGCTCTTAAGTTGACATGTGATGATTTGCCACCAACGGACAAATTTAGTTCGAAAAGTTCTTGAAACGGCAACCAAAACAACCCATCCTCGCCGTATTTTTTTTAAAAAAAATGACTCCCGAGTATCAGTTTTTAATTCTTAAAGTGTGACACTTCCTTCTTCTTAAGGCTTCTTCTTTTTGGTCTTATTGAACTATGCTGGAACGTCTACCCGTCGACGCCGTTGAGCAGTGCAGCTCTGCACGCCTGCCACGCCGCCATTCTAATCGGTCTTGCGGTGGAGCCACTAAAGAACACCTTCAGCCGAGTGCCAAAGAACCGAAAGTTGAAGCGTCGCTAATGAACGTCCTGTCGCAAAGGAATCCGTCTTTTCAGACTATCATTGGTGCGACGGGTTCCGCAAAACAAGGTCCACATTAGGGCCCACGACTGCGTCCCGTTATCCTCATTAGTAGATACAGAACGAGTAGTCAAGTGCCTTGATGGATCTGGTGATTAGGCAGTGATCCGTTCGCGTGGGCTGAGAAAAAGAGCAAGTGAACGCACCTGATACAACGCAGCAATGAACGTGGGTGCTAATCTACAATGAGTTTTAGGTGAAGTAGGGCCATGCCCATTAGTAGATGAGGGTGGATGGATACCCTATTTCTCATGATGACGAAGTGATGGCCCTTTCCCAATTTATTGGCATAAAATAGCGGCCCATTATGAGTCAAATGATAACTAAATTTCACAGCCACTGTGTGTGTGTTCTTGAGCCAATGGTAAAATAGGGGGAAGGGGGGGCGTAAAAGGCACATCTTGGAACCCATTAGGCGAATGGGCTTGTCGCGGAGATACCACAGCCGGGAATCTCATTGACAGCCTCCACTGACATGTTTTGATAGACAGAGAGCCAGTCTCGAACTATGGTTTCCACCAAATGATGACGTGCGGCTGGGAGACGCAGGCGTGCAAGGAGTAGTCCCCGACGGGTTGGCACCGTGGATAATCGGTCACGCAGGAGTTGGGTGTCTCCTGAAGTCTGCAACGAAAGAGTTTGGAGCATGCACATACACACTGGCCTCTAAACCGGGTGACAATGCTGTAGCCGTATTATGATAGGGTGACAAATTTATAGCTTTATGAACTACAGTTCAGTGTTTCACTGTTTTTATCATCAACTCTAAAAAACTCAGATACACTATGGCCTGGTTTTGGTGTTTGATAAAGCTCCGTCGGTAATTAGTCTCCTCTGGTGCCGATTTTTCCCACGAAAACAACTTTCCACCACCACATTTCGAAAACAAGTAGTGTCGCAGACCGCAAACACCGTCACCATGTTAATAGATGCTGCATTGATTATGACTGTCCGAAGCCTGTTAATCTAGGTTGAGTGGTTCCGGGTTATGTAGAAACCAACTTGATTTGGTGCCGAATTTATTACGTACAATGGTAGTCGGAGGCTGATGCGGACTGAGACAATGCGGGTCCGCCATCCTGGGAGGATTTTGATAAGCGGGAATGCATTGGCTGCCAGCATGCCAACATGTAAATTTCACTACTGTGCATGCCGCGAGCATGCAGCAGTATTTCGCTAGGCTTGCGTGCGATCCCCTTGTGAATTCGGTTATTCTCCTATATCAGTATGTATGACTCACTGGTGGTCCAACTGGTAGTAGGAATCGATCAAAATTAGTATTATAAGTATATGCAATGATGTAGCTTACTCCTTTTTTGGAAGCAAAGGGGGTCGGAAGTGGTTGACCCTGAAGATCAAATAAAGGGAAGTATAGGGAGCGTTCATTTGTGGGTTGGGATGAGCCAGTCACCTCTGGCTGGTCATGAAGGCTGCCGGGATCACTATTGGGCCGTGGCTGATCATCCAGTGGGTCGGATGTGGGAGCAGGATCCCAGCAACCATCGTCAGAACGAGCGGACCGAGCTTCGTTGTCGAGATTGTCGCACTGGCCGTTGATTTGTGGCTCCTTTGGAACGAGGGCAGAAAAGTGACCCCGGGTGTAGCCCAGGATTATGGGGTCCCGGGAGCAAAAGGAACGCTCCCACAGCACCGGAAGGTAAACACCTGAATCCAAAGAAAACGGAGTTGGCTTCGGTTTGGTTCGCCTGGTGGTTGTTGCCTACTCGCATAAACGCCAAACGCGGTAGTGCCCGCAGAACACACACATTGCATCGTACACATAAACATCTAGAACGTATATGCCGGCGCATTTTGGGCCACGAGCCAAAGTTGACAGGCGGGATTGACACTGTTTTCCCAACTTTACAAATATCAGTAATTTTACCACATTTAATGTCCTATCCACTAAAAGGAAATCCACAGTTCATTGTACTAAGTAACTCGAAACATCAAGGGACTGGTAAGCAAACATTTGTCCGAAAGGAAGCATACGTTGCCTGTGTTGGATCAATAAACAGCTTGTTAGTGGGCCGCCCTAAAAACAGACGAAAGCACGAGGATGAATGCAGTTCGCAAATCTAAGCTTTGTGAATAATCTGTGTTCGCTATACGTTACATTAGTAATAATATACGCAGGGTGGCTTAGTTCAATTCAGAAAGAAGGGAAATTATAAGTTTGTCGGTGATTAGGTTGATTACAGGAGTGCACTTGTGACCTAGCCAGAAAAGGTGCCCTTAAACAGAAAAACGGATTTACTAACTCGGAGTGTGCATGTTGCATGGTAGAATCTTGTTGACTCAACGTCAGTCTGACGAGTGAACAGTCTCCTTTAAAAACCAAAATGTTTCATCACAAACAAGGTCATATTCTTCGACTCTGACACACTTTGTGCGTTCAGGCCTAGTCCAGGAGGGGCTACCTATGCTACATGGCTTGCAACTGGAGTAAAGGCCTCCCGGTTTAATATCTTGTAGAAATACTACGTTTTCAGCCAGACTAGATCACCGCTGATCTGACCACGTGAAGATGCATGGCGTCGTTAAATCGCCTGGCGATTGCGCCCAATAGGGTGTCCACGGTGCGATGGGGCTGAAAATGCCGATGGGTTTTTCAAAGCACATTGTTAATTTAGAAGCGCGGGGTACTAACCTTGAAAGTTGGAAAATCCGATTGGCTCGTTGCGGTAGTTGTGGATATACTTGACGCTGTACACGATGATTGGGCGACGGAGGATGTGCGCAAGGACGAATATGTGGATCTGTTCCAGCGAAACCCCTAAACGGTGGAAACCTTTATTCCAGTCATCTGACACAAAATCTTGGAAGAAGAAACACCCTTTCGTCTGTTTATTTACATATAACAATATGCAACTTTATAGACAGCATTCACTTACGCTTTCACGTACAAAAATTCAAATGACCTCTACGGAAGTTGGAGTTCTTGTGTTAGTTGGTGGACTACCTCCATCGAAGACAGTATTTTCTTACGGTTTAAAAGCAATTTCGGGTCATCAAAAGTGCAGAGAACTCAGAACGTGGATAGATTGTTGATTACAGTTTTCCTCTTTTACAAAAGGGGCCAGTCAACTTCAACTACTTTATGCCAAATTGACAACGCAAATTTGGTCACTGGTGCGTGGTTGTCTTGAATTTACCGCTCCTGCGTTCTGTCGTGGTCTGGCTGCAATTGCTAAGCTCAGACAAGGGCCGCGGATGAAAATGTCTACCTTACAAAAAGTGAAGTCAAATTGGTCAAAATTCATGGAAAAAGTGTCGAGTTTTGAAAAACGACGATAAGAACTGCACAGGGGTGTGAGACATAGACGTGCTTGCATAGAGACAAAGCGAAGTTTATTTTTATACATAGCAATAACCCAGGACACACATCCGAGGTGATCGGGTGTAGTTAAGTGTGCTATGTGGTCACAGTTGTTAAAGATCCCCCGGAATTACTACAAATGATATCCAGTAGACTTATTACAATCGGCCCAAGGGGAAATGTTGTGAAATAATTGTTAGAACTGTCAGCAGTTTCAAAATAATTCGTATTTCCAAAGGCACTCTTAAGATAAGGAGAATGGATTTAAATTTTGGCGCGAAAGAAAACCACATCCTGTTGGCGTGACGTGATGCAATTTGGATGACTAGTGACATGTGACATCGCAACAGGTCTGTAGAGACCTCGTTTTCCGTTTTTCCAGCAAAAGTCAATTTCAAAGCACAGGTTTACGTTTGGTGTCTATTCTAAGGATGCTGTGATGAACTTTAATTGGCCGTCACTAAACGACCACAGTAAGAAAACGCGCCGTCATGCGTAGCTACTAAACCAAGTAGGGGTATTCAGCCATTAAAGCGTGCCATTGTTCGAAATCCCAACCATCATTCCCCACCTTCAGGTGGTTCGTACAGCGGTCACACATGACGAATGCGAAGAGGAAAGTGGGCTTACGGGGTAGATTGGCCGCGTCCAGAACAGAGCGCCAATCGCGAAGGAGCTGTTGGTCGTCCGGTCGGTATTGATTGGCAGCCTGTTGGGTCTCGTACTCGCGCCACGCACGGAAGAAGTGGCGTTCGCACGCCTTCAGACTGGAGGCCAGTGCTTGCCTCAGTGTGTTCTGAGTGTCAAACACTCCCCAGCATGCCTTTAATGTAACAAAAAACACATTAACAACACACACACCCACACACACGACCATGAGAATGGTGCTAACATGCGCGTGGATGTTGGCGGCCGACAAAACGCGTGTGCGATGCCAGTACACAGCAGAGGTTTAAATCACAAGACTGTACCAGGCTACAAAAAAACTGGGATCAAATTTAGCAAAACAAGCATGCAGCCGTGTGAAGTTCACACGATCACAGCAACGCATACCGAGAGTTTAGGTGACAAGATATGTGTCACGTTGGTGACAGTGTCGTCACACATTTACCTCCCAAACAAGTTACCGCTTACTTCGACACCCAGAGGAACTATCATTTCCACAAGCTCTCATCGTCATTGCTAATGACGCCTATACAGCTGAAACGCGTCACAATGCGAATAGAATCGGTGTATCAGTAACACGGCTTAACCTATGCACTGAAGAACTGAATCCCAGGCCTGACTGTCGTGTGGGGAACCACATCAACCCGAGACTACCACTGTGTTTAATGAACTGGGACTGTCGTGTACTACTTAATCAGCAGTCCCGTCAGAGCGCCTACATAAACAAGAACCAGTCAACCAACATTAGTGGATGTCGGACAGGTCTACTCAATGCAGCATTGAATTCACCTGCTGCATCAATTAACGAAACCTTGGTGATGAGTAGAATGCAAGCGGCCTGTGACACAGTGTAGGTCCCAGGAGACGTCGAATGTGTAAAATTGATTGGTGAGGTCAATTTGTGCGCTTCAGCGTGAGCTGGATGTGGACAAACCTACACCCACAACTCACCTGCATAATACTGTCTAGAAGGCAGTCACCATCAGTCCTGTTCCAAAGAGCAAAAAGGCGACTCGTTGGCTGGTTGTGCTGCCCGTCCAGAACCCACCAATTGATTGCCTTACTTCGCACCTCGAGTTCTGAATTTAAGAAAAAAAGGCAGCGCGATTGAACTCAGTATCTCTGTTTGTGCAAACACACTTCTACACACGCTAGTTTTTCATACAGCTACACGCGGACTAAGGACAGCATAGAAACTACCTAGACAAAGACAATTACAGTTCTAGTCGCATGTTCCAATATAGCCACATCACCCTGGGACCAGGCATACAGGTACCACAAATCCACTGTGCGCATCCATCGAGGAAGCGCACGGAGACCGAATGTTGCTCAACATGTGCTTTTCACATAAGTACAATACTGTTATAATTGTAGGAAAATTTGCGAAATTTAACTGTACCATCTTGGACATCGGTGTCGCAGAGTTCTGCAAACACGACCTCCTGAACAGTGGATGCTAGACTGGTCATCTCGGCGGGAAGAGCAAATACTCCGAACTCCGTCAGGTACAAACACGGAAACTCGCCCCTTCGCTGACCCACACAGGCATCCAGAAGCCGCCGCAACTCCTTCGCCGCATAGGAACTCGAATGGCAGAATGACCTCTTGGTTCCTCGGCCACTGTGGGAGGCTGGAGTGGAGGGGGTACGGGGTGCGGCAGGAGAAAGAGCAGAGAAAAGGCTGACCAAATCTGTACGGTGGCATATTTGCGCCAAATCAATTACTGAAAGACCAGGCTTAATTGAGGGGGTCGCACCAGATATCACACTCTGGTTGAGAAACTGATCCAAAACTAGGCAGTCCTGTGATGTAAGCCTCCGGCTAAAGATGATTCCCTGAGAAGCTGAAGACAAAAGAAAGCTTTGCAAGGCCTTGTCGTCCCCGGTGATAACGGCTTTGCACGCAGACAGCCAATCGTCGTTTGGGTTGGATACAGAATGTGCGGCTTCAGGCGGGGGGGCGTTACACATGACACAGGTTTTTGACTTGGGCCAATTTTCGTAGGTACACGATGAACAGGTCCACTTGACGAAGCCCAGCTGGGTGAGGGAGGAGGAGGACTCGGGCTCGATCGAAGAGCGGGAGACAGAAGGAAGCGGCGAAGACGTGCCGCATTGTGTGCACTTCACCGAAGCAGCCCAGTTGTCGAAGGTGCAGGTGGGGCAAGACCACCCGCCGGTGGCCTTTTTCGAGTTGCCAAGATCTACGCGATGCATTTCGTCCTCGATTGAAGGGAGGTCGCGTGGGGCTTCGCACAGGGTGCATCGTTTGGAGCGTGGCCAGTTGGCGTAGGTGCAGCGGAGACACGTCCACTTGGCAGTCTCCTCAGCCATACTGCATCTCCCTGATCTAAGTTACATGAAAAGGCAAAGCTGCCAAAATAAATTTGCATTTTTTGCTTAAAAAGGCTTTCTTTAAGATTTGCAGCATCCAGAAAACAACTAAAATACCAATATTATTTTGTCATGCCCTCTAAATACGCAATTTTAATGACCGAGGAATCGAAAAACTTGACGAGAACGAACGTCGCGAACTAAGTAACTAGGGATTTATAATTAATTACTCTCAACATGGTGAAACCTAGCGAATAATTACAGAGATAAGTACACGCTTTTGTTAATCCGGTAGTCTTTGTTGTGTTTCAGAGTAGAGTGCGTTGGCTAAGTGTAGGGAGGAGAGAGGAAGACAATCAACAGTTACAGAACCAGATAAACATGAGTGTCAAGCGTATAAAGTCAATAAAGTGCGACGTGAAAGACTGCCTTTGGTAGCATTTAGTTAAAACGCCCAGTCGCTTGACAATGCAAGCTTCTACCCAAGGATACAGCTGAAAGGTTTATTGAAAGTGGGGTCGATCACCGCTCCTATTAAATACATGCGAACACGGGCCCAATGACCTCAAAGGTATGAGTTACTGTAAAGTAATCGCACCTCTTGACACAAAACGTCTCAATTACATCTTTAGGACTGATATAATGTCGAGTGAAAAAACCTCGAACCAAAATCACAGAGCCTGATGGGGTTGTAGTAAGCGGTTTGAGATTGCCTTCACAACAAATCGGATTACATACTTGTGCCCCTAGCTTGAATATTCAGCCTTTTACGCTTTTTCAGTGTACACAAATATCCCACTATCCCCGGTCAACACTCCACCCACCCTGTTTATACATCCACACAAACACTGCTGATTCGAGACGACCCCAACAATGCTGGTGAGCAAACGGATTAGTTGTTTGAGCAACGGGGCATGGCATGCATTTAAATACTGTTAAGGGTCGCTTTAGTTTACTATAAACACGTCCACAAAGAAGGTGGTGCAGAGTAGGACTGTTTTTCTCCAAGGACTGAGTAAGACTTTGAAACTTGGTGCAAATAAATTACGTTTTCATTGGAGGAAATCTGTATGTTAGCAAACGTTCCAATCACAATTTCCTTTAAAGTATGACACACGAGGGTAAAGTCAACAAATATGGAAATGATGAACGCGCTTTTGTGACAAACTTGAATGCTAGGAGATCAGGGTCGAATCCACCAACTCTAAGAGACATGCCAACTTTCGCAGAATAAATTGTGAGCTATTTTACGCCTCCATTAATGATTTGTTGAAAATCACCACAAATATTTCAACAGAAGGCAGTAATTAGTTGAATGTAAGTTCTGGTATGGTTTGACTGGCATCAGCAATATTTTAGCGCTATTTCTAGGAAGATTCGTCACAAGATAAAGAAGGTTGTAGTGTTGCTCATGGCCTAAAGCGCTGTCATGCGTTCACACACGAAGGTTCGGAAAATTCACGAATAACTTTGACTTTATCCCTGGTAGTCTGGAAAAGAAGATAGCAAAATGTGGACAAAAAACACCGAAAATGCGTGTCGGTAGATTGACTATGAGGCCGCACTCCGTCAGATATTAGAAAGTAGTAGCTGGTCAGTTTAATCACCAAGAACAACTAATGTATTGTAGGGAAAACAAGCAGGAGAAATCATAGAAAAATGAGAGTTAACCAGAAGATGCTAACCAGAAAATGAGAAACGTAAAATGTTCAAACAAGTGCTTAACCGATGCAGATTAAGGTTTTGCCAAAGTATGCTTGTTGTGGAAAGAGATTTCTACCGGCACTTTGTGATTCCGGATAAAAGTATCAGTAAACAAACTGAGAATGCAAAAATGCAACTAATATCTCTTCAGAGGTATAATAAATTATTATAAGTATGAATTATGGAACCATTAAAAAATCGTGTACATTTTACCATATATTTCCAAATGAAAAAAAGATCCAATTAAAAAATTATGGAAGGATGTTAGTTGGATATATCAAATATAACGTGCAGTTAACAACATATTCTGGAGTGATGTCCGACTATGGCAATGTGAATAATAGTAAAAGGGAAATTATGAGCTATAAAAATCGAGGGTTGGCTGAAATGGAAGGGAGTTAACATACTGTACCACGTATTTAGAAGAAAATGTGAATACGAAAAAGGCACACACTCAGATATTTTTCGCAGCCACAAACTCTTGAAATTGCGCTACTAGAAACTTGTTTAATTGTTTCTCGGGTGCACAGTGAACTATTTGTTGTAAATAGTATTTACGTATATTTACAATCGTATTTGGCTATTACTCTAAAATATTTGTAAGGAATTTCAGTGACCTATACCTTCGCGATTATCTTCCATGTTCTAGTCAGCCGATAACTTCAAAATATTTGAGATTCGAAACAAACTATATGCATTAAAAATGCAAATTAATTCAATCTTGTGTTTTGCATGCATCATGCTACCTTGTATTTTACCCTTAAGGCAAAATGATGACTAACAATGTAAAGTAATTTCAAATATTTGCCTGAACTTACAGAAAATATCGGTGAATACTGTCACAGATTTATCAGGGAAATGCTTAAGCAATTGTAATCGCAAACGCAACCCTATGCAGACTCACTAATTAATGCGAAAACAATGGTTTCATTGTTTTTGTATTTTTCTCAGTGATTCATTTAACAAACGTATAATGGGATTTCAGTTTTCTTAAGAATATTAGCACTAAAAGCTTTTAATGTTGGGATAATATTTTTTTATAATCGTCGTATTTTTGAATCCAATTGGTTTAAATAATTAGTAATATCGTGTTATTTGGGCAGGCGCTTTCGACTGACAAACACTGTGGTCGCAACACACTAGCCATATTGTTATAATAATAAAGCTCCCTCTCAGTTAAGTAATAAAACCAAATATAAGGCTATTTTAGGGGAGGTTCGCGTAGAGCTTCTTGGTTATTTGGCAGCTATCCTCCTTAGAATAAAGTTAAAAATATCTGCTAATTTGATTTCACACAGTTTTGAATTCCAAAGGTAATGTTGTACGCGACTTAATTAAATGCTCTGTGAAATAAGTGCCGAATAGGTATTGAAAGATTAGAAGTCTTTGGCTTTCTCCAGTACGAACCTAATTTGCTGCATCACAATTCCTGGAAAAGCGTTTTGTATATCATTACGACAAATGTGTTCTTGAGAGATTATTCACTTTTTGGGTTAAATACCACAAACATTTGAAAAGTGTTAATTTTGCGTTTTAAAATAAACAATTATGTTCCAATTTACTAGCTACTGGTGATCTTTTTTGAAGAATTTTTGATTGCGACAACTCAACTTAAAAAACCCGCCTTTGATTCCGATGCAGCGAACTTGGTTGGAAATTACTTAATGGCAAATTTTGACATGGTTATTGGTTAAAATGGATCTGCCTAGTCCCCGCGCGGTATGTTTACGTCACTAGGTGTTGTTCTTTTTGCAATCGAGGTTTAGGACTTTAGTCTAGACTTAACGTATTTGCAAATGGTATCACTTTGGTAAACGTACGGATCTTTCAAGATTCTCACTGTATGACCTGAGGTGTGATCGTGTATTATGGACATATTTGGAGCCTACATGTTGGGTATGTACGTAATGCGTCATGCTTTGAATCGTAATTCTTGCATGCGGCCCACAGTATGAAAATCGACAGTATCTTAGCAAACATTCATGTATGAAACATTTTAACTTTCAGACACGTAAATGAAACTAGCACGACTTCCGTCAACATTGTTAGCCACTACTTTGTTCTTTGTGTCTGTATCCTGTGCACATCCTCTTCTATCATCTGGTATCGATAAGTTCGGACTTTCTACACTTTCTCGATCACAACCTTTTTTCTGCCTTTCTACTCATTAATACCTTTAGTTTTCAGTCTGCTCGTGTACTTGAAATTCTAGGTAAATTCGGATCTTGGTAGCCGTCAAATCGCTTCACGTCTACATTGTTTGTGTCTCAGAATATCCAGTTTCTTGGTGACGCTACCGCAACCTATGCTTGGTGGTGTGACTTGTATTTAAGTAATCAGCGTAGTTCGTCTGCTAGCGTTGGGTCAGTATTTTTAGGAAGTGCTAGGGTACTTAGGTCGTATAATGCCAGCATTTGACTGGAACATCCAAGCCGTTCGATTAGATGTATTCAATGGCATTTACAAAATTTGTTGGTAAATGGATTTCGATGCTCGATTTGGGTGCAGTTTGAGCGTTTTTCGGCCACGGTTGTTAAAAAATATCTCTTTTTGCGATATGATTTGTTGAAAGTTGTTTGGTTTTACTGTCAATAACCCAAACTTCATTCAACCTGTTTCTACATGTTCCAGTTTAATATCCCAATCTTTAGATTAAAATGCGACTGTCGTTTCTCATGTATTCTCAGAGGGTAGCATCACCACTAACTGATTGCAGTAGTTTTGTTACCATAAACGGGATTTTTTTTAACAATTATGAATTTCGTTAGCGGTTGACAAGGTAGGTTTACTTTTAACTTAATAAATATCTAAGCGAAGCTAATTGGGTACCACGTTGTTGCATTAAGATAGTAGTGCGTGACCGTGATCACCACTTTTTCTGCTTGTAATGCGGCCCTTTACTTCAGACTTATAAAGTGTCAAATGGGTTCCAAGATTGCGTATAATTGACAGATTTCATCTGTGGCTTATTTTTTATTTCATAGGAAGAAAAAACCGTTCTAGAATCGATTTACACCCCTGAAGAGATAACAATCTCCGATGATTACAAAGTTCAATTTCGGGTAATTTGCATTGCTTCCTTATGGTTGCTCGACGTAGTTGGGAACCCCAGGCACACTTGAATCATTCGTTGTTAATATCACCTGGCCGAAGGGTTACCCTTTTACTATGCCGGTGATAGACTTGGACGTTTTCTGCAACCACCACGTGCCACAGGAAATGAAGGATTCCATCATTCAGGATCTCGAGCAGCTTGCACACGCAAACAGCGGAGAACCATTAACGTTTACGCTCATCGAACACTTGCGTGACAACATGGAGACTTACGCTACGCAATTACGAGAATCAAAAAAGCGGTCTGGGCATTCGGTTAGTCGCCAAGCAGGTGCAGGAGAATCAGCAGTGTGTTTGCGAGTTGTCAAATTCTATGTTTACTTTAGGCTAAAGAAGATAAGACTGATAAGAAGGAAATGCTAACAAAAGCGCAAAAACGGAGACAACTTAATCGCTTAGACGGAACTGGCAACCTCCCGAGAGGGTGGAACTGGGTTGACGTCATCAAACATCTGAGACAGACGGGTCCCGCTCAGACTGACACTAGTGCCTAATGTTATCCTTGTTCTTAAAATAAATAATGCATACGCACTGAAGATACATTTTGAAAATTCTGATGTTTGGTCGAACCCATACTTGGCCTGTAATAATTTTATCACAGTTACCGGCAATCAGGTTTGTGCTTCTGATGTCAAATAATGAATTCATGAGATGTGCCGTCACCTCCAGCTGTGACGCCGCAAATCACAACGTAGGGCCTGTTCCTGCAGTGTTACCCCAACTTACGTTTCTTCGTTCAGCATGGATTCCTTGTCGGTGTGCTATCTAGGTCGTTCCCCACCCGTCAATTCACTTGCCAAACAGGCTAAGTAGAATCAATGTGTGGTCTAAGTAATCATAACGGTCGGCAAAGTTGCCGCGTACTCGATCTGGCGGAAACGTACGCAGTAGCTCCATACTGGGCCTTCATTCACTAACCGACCACGTTTGATAAATCAAGGTGGTGCTACATCAGCATTTTCACAAAATGGAACACAGGTACAAATGAATACGTAGTCGTGGCTACCGACTCAATAGCCACCGAGAGCAATTAGAGACCTGCTTCTACAGACGCGAACAGTTACCACAAACTACTCCGACAGTTAAAACAAATTCTAGCCCAAAGTCTAGGATCAACGCCTTTCGCAGCAAAAAAAGATACCAGCAAAATACTTGGCAAGTGTACCACCTAATCCGAGCCATGATAACTTATTTTACGTTCACACAGATTACTTGAAGGTATCTATTTACATCGCGCCAAGCAAACACAAAACAATGAATAAGATCTGTACATGCGTGGGGCATCAAAGCTTGTTGACAAGCAAGCGTTTTTTAGCAACGCGCTTAGATGTTGATGGCAGAGACTTCTTCATTTCGGCCTCTAATTCTTCCATTTCAACGTCCATTTGTTCAGTGACATTTACCTTCTCTTCGTCCTCCACTGCACGTTCCCTCGCTAAAACTTTATAGATTTATGGGAGATCTTACCGTTGGGCGCTTTGATAAGGTGCATCTGTGTGTTAACCAACTTCACGTCCTCTTTTTTCCTTAACTCAACACCCTTCTTTAATCGCTTAGTGACGAAAAGTCTTTCACGCTTGTCTTTAATAGCACTAATTGTCTTCATTGCATTCACTAATAAGGTAAGCAATGAAAAATAACCAAGGCCTACGTGTAGTTATGAGCTTTTCGCGGCTATACTTCTGAATATAATTTCTCTTTCTTTCAAAAGTCTGAGCAAAATCATCACTAAGATCCTTTTTAAAGGATTTTCTGTAGGTTTTGGTCCATTTCGTCTTTCGCGGAGCACGCTTCTTCTTAAATGCTTTATGGCACTTACTACGGCAAAACCGGAATTCCTAAACGTTGTATGAGAGGGTAGTGAATTACCTTGCAGTCATTCCTAACAAACATTATTCCATGACCCGGATAAATGGGACTGGAACAAAACCAGCAGCGATAGATCCGCATGCCGTCAGATGGACCAAATTACCCAATTATTTCACACAAACCCGGAAGTCAGAAATGATATTAACCAATTATAATCTAGATACATCATCGTCAATGTCGTTAATCCCACCCAAAATTCTACGGTGAATTTATAAGTAAAATCATCATCCTGCCGTACTTTAGGACCTTCTATCAAGCGCATACAGGTCGCAAATAAAAATTAGTAAAACAGTTAAAATTAGTGCAGAAAAAGGAACCAGATCATCCTTGGAGTTCCTAACTTCAAATGACGATGATTGAAATGAGAGATGACTGACTTGATGCACACACATGGCAATTTGTATAGCTAAAACTATAGCCTTTCTATGTTTGTCTTTTGATTAACCCCAAGTTCACTGTGTTCTGCCTCCCATAAAAAACTACGCAAGAATGTATTTCACTGAAGAGTTGAACGTGATATCGTTGAATTTCCGCAAACTCTGGACTGTAGTCTTTAGCAACATAGTGGTCTCGATCCATTTTGGTCAGGTTTCTAATATGGTTTGGACAGAATTTAAATATGGGAGTGAAACAGACATGCCTTCTCTTAGAAGGCCATGAATCGTAATGAAATATGTATTACTGATCGACAAATGCACACATGTCGTCAGAAATAATAGAACTCAAGATGGCTTTAGGACAATTTTGGGGTGCCGAGAGCCATACAAATTTTTTAGCTTTAAACTGCTATTGGATGCTGACATCTTTGATTATTTAGCCAATATTAAGAACGTATCAAAAAGTCATGAAGTTAATCAGCGGCGGATATTTCAGCACAATCTACAATCTTATTTCATGGCTAGCTTCTGATACTGCACTATGAGGATGGTGCACATTTTTTTAGATCATTGATAACAAAAAGCTAATGCTTAAAGCCAAGAAAAAAATAAAGTTTTATTTATTTGAATACTTGAGAATGTCACCAGCATTCGTTGAGCTTGCAAACCTTTCACTGAGTAATATGGATCGCACGTCAATGTAATTTAGTCACAAGTACATGACCGAAACAACCACGAGATAAGTGGTATCATATATTTTTCTTGTTTGCATGTGTGTGTATAGAATACTCCTTAACTATTACTTTTAAGGAGTGGAAAAAAATTAATTTCTAAAATGTTAATCCTGAATTGAATGATCAAACGAATGGGCAAATTCACTTCTGATGTGTAAAAGCATTTTCTAAATATTTTGTAGGTATTATAAGCGAGACCACCAATTGTTAGCCCCTATCTTTCAATACTAAGTGGAGAATGTAAAGGATGAAGCATCAACAATCAACAGTCGACAGAAACAGTAGTACATTTTCTCTTGTCACTGCTGTAGTGTAGTCTGCCGATGATTTAAATGATGTGAGTCGTTAACAAAAGGGGGTCACTGAAAGCTCGACAGTAGTTTAGTTGATGGACAACACGCTGAAATTGAAAAGAATACGCGTGAATAATGGTAAATGTGTGTATTCAGGGAGAATTTTCTGATCGCGATTTAGTGATACGATCTGCAGGCCCATTAACACGGGCTATTAACACAAACTTGCTTACAGTAATCTGTAATGATGGCTCGCCCAAGTGTGTTTCATCATTCAAGAAATCAAATCCTGAGGAGTTTATTAAGACGGTGTTCTCATTTCAACTTGGCTTCACGATAAAGACACTCTTTCTTCGGATTTTAAAACTCGGAAAGATGCATCTTACGTTTTTTGGTTAGAGCCTCATTGCTTATAAAGTGCAAAATCACATTTTAGGCATCAAAGGCTTCTTTACTTCCTGTTTGGTTAGATTCCCATAAATTGTCATCTCAATCCTGTAAATTTAGCTGTTATGTCTTTAGAAACTGTCATAGAGTATTATTCATATTTCTTATAGCTATCTGAGATCTCATCGCTGTTGCAAAATATACTAGTCAACGTAAACTGGGGGAATGATTCTAAGAAAAACCTGGCCTGGGCTAAATTTTTCTTTTTTAGTTGGTGAGGAAAATCTTGGCTGATGGTAAGCTGCTGCTCAAATGCGGCCCAGGGTTACTAAAAATGCTCATCATTAGAATATACTCTTCAGGAACTATTCACTTTACTCTTAAAGGCGTCTTGCCACCTACTTTAACTGTCAGGTTTGCAAAATTTCAAATGCAATGAGAGGTTGTCTTAAAATTTCACTTGTTATTCATGCATAAGTCTTGACTCGTACGTATGTCTCGTGCAAATTTGGGTTTTTATAGTGAGGCATACATGCTTTCACCAATCAAGATCGCTGTAAGCTTATGCGAAATGCATGTGGTGAGTCTGACTTGAAATTGGTAGCAGTATTTTGTAAGTGAATTAATGGAAATTAGAAAGTGCCACAAAGAACTACTCAGATTTCAGTGTCGCCGCGGAATATCTTAGTCTTAAAAGATAGAATAATCCAGGTGCTTTCATTTAGTTAATAATGAAAACTTTGATTGTCGCTGCTGTTCAGAATTGGCTCAGAATGAATCAAAAAAGTACTTCGCTCTATTTGGGCCAACTTTCAAGAATCGTCAAAAGTTGGGTGGAATTCACTAGACAGAACGTCGCTTTGCCTGTCAACCTTGTGAATTCACCATTCCCATCACAAACAGCCTGAGCTGCACCTTTCGGTGACAAATTGCGTGCCAATTCTGCTCTTGAACATACCATATGATGCCGAGAGTAAATCAGCGATGGCGCATTGTATACCAGCTGGCCTGCTGTTAATGATTGATTTAATGTAATGCGAGGCACCTGGATTTCCTGTAAGATCGTCTTCTTCAGCCATATATCCGACATTTGGGGGTCAGATCCTTAGGCAATGATCATTAACTTCAAATCCCCCTCTCTACACACTCAGATCTCACATGCAATAAAAGTGGCATTATAAACGGTATTATCTTACGACGGCATTAAAATTGGCCGTCGATAATGTTTGCTTTCGTTGCACAATTGCTGATTCGCCAAATATGAAGGCAGCTGACAATAACGAATGAAACGGAATAGTTGCTGGCCCCATGCTCAAAACACAGTTCTTTGAGGTGGTCGTTATATTTATGCTTATTCTTACCTCGTTTGGCTGCGTCGACAATAGAAACGAGCAGTCTAATCTATTCGCATTTAGGACTCTGGAAAAATTAAAGCCCCATGGACGCAATCGAACGGAATTTGTAGAAAGTCAAGCAGGACCAAAGGTGTCACTCGGACTGTTGCAATACAGGCCAGCTAGTTCTATGTCAATCTGACAATAGTTTCAGTGCGAGTGTAAAAGCGGAAATAATTTAAAAGAAACTGCATAGGCTTGTTGTGTGACAGCAACTGCATCTAGTAATTGTGTAGAACGCCCAAGCATGCAGTGTCGTTGACCAATCACTTTTCGTTTTGCATTTGGATTTGCTTGATTGACAAATAATCGACAAAAAGACCCACGTGATAGGGTAAATCAGTACCTTCGTGACCTGCTCTGAGAGAGAAATTAAAGGATTCGTGCAGAACAACAAGCTAGCATTTTAAGCCCATGACGCTTTTAATTGAATGCATGATAAGCTCTGTAAAATCGGTGAAAGCTGCAAGTGCTACAGGCAGCTAACATTCCTCGCCATCAATTCAATATCGAATTACTTTAAATTTTATGGTCATTCATTTCGACAAAGTTTTAAGTAAATGACCAAACGAGTCTTGTCAACACTTGAATACTCTGCTTTTTCGGCACACCTCTATTGCAAGTAGATATACAGAAATTTGTCATTAGTACAAACAACCGATTCTCCTATTATCCAAATCGCAAATTAGCTATTTTCGGTGTTCATGAAATAAAACAAACACAAGGTCGTATCTTTGATCGTTTTATTTGTCAATTGTGAATGCAACGAAATTGCAGCTACAATCAGGCAGCTGACGAAACACAAAAGGAACGGTGATAATCAGACGAAGGAGCGCAGCACGTGGGGCTCGGACCAGGGTCTACGGAATGGAAGTGGGAGGGATGCCGCGGTTCGGCACGTAGGGCGACTCACGCTCCACCATGCGGATGCAGTCGGGAATGGGGCAGACGGAGAAGCACAGCGCACACCCCGTGCAGTCCGCCTCGCGCACAAAGGGAAAGTGCGTCTTGGGGTCGAAGTCGATCGCCTGGTAGCCCGTGTCATTGCACGTCATGTAGCACTTGCCGCAGTTTATGCACATGTCCTCATCCACCAACGCCACCACCTAGCCAATGCAAGCAAACACCACCACTGAGCTCAATCTCCCGCAGTGCAACCACTCAGTCTCTAATCCAAAGCGCTCAATGCTTTGGATGCTGAAATCTGCTTTGCACAAAACTGCTAACAAACCGAATCAGCAATGAAGCCAGGATCAGAAAACCATGCCATTCGCATCAACCACGCCTATCGATATCTGCTTAAATTCACTACGAAAACAGTCTGTCAATGCACAAATGTACACCTTCAGGAAAAATCTTTGTGGGTTTTTTTGCTATTTTAATATACCCAGTGGTCACTCGTGAAAGATGGAGACACATGCGAGCTCGTGAGGCATGAAAACCAGCAGCAGGTGTGCCCAGGGATGACATCAAGTGACGCGTCACTCTCTTGTAACTTTTTAAACTGTTCCAGTATAAACTCATAAAATATCTAAAACCGGTGCCTTTGATATGAATTCCTTTACTTAAAGCACCTGATGCACGCGCAAGCCGTGCGGTTAGCCAGCGGATTTTGGATAAATCTGTTTTAATGATGGACGACGCTCGATTACAAAGCAGGGCAAGTTGAGTACCACCTTGCCTCTGTCCAATTACGGATCTGCACTTCCAACTTTCGGCAAGCGTTTCCGGTACCACATTTCATGCAATTATTTTGCTTCAGGATTGACTGGAGATGCTCGACCAACTAAAGCGCTTTCTCTAGACAAACGAGGTGTGAAGTAATCATAACAAGGAGACTCTCAACGCGACTTTAAAGGGCCACTTCAAATTGAAGTGAAGTAGTGGCTAATTGGGCTTTATGGCCCAGCGGCGAATCAGATTTGCTAAGTGCACCAAAGCCTCAATGGGTAAAAGACACAAGTCTCACGCCCAAATTAATTTCCACCGATTGGGACAATGCACTGATTTTAGATAAGAGGTAGTAGTGAATCGTGTTGGTTCACTTCCATTAACCCAGTCGCTGGAGCCGCCCACACAATGCTCCCCATTTTAACAGTGCATCCGTCAGCCAAGCACGACATTCTGCTCACACACCCTTTTGCATTTCCCTCCCCCGATATCAGTTTCATTCATCTGGCCATTTGAACCAGCCATTTGTACTTTTACAAGTTCACCCTAACTGTGTGGGTCAGTAAGGTCATCAGGCAAACGCGACTGTGACCACACACGAACTCGACAACACAACGGTTCGCTACTTCTCGCTGTATCGTGAGGCCACAAATTGGTGACCCCGAGGTGGTTATGCGCATAAGTGAGAAATTAATTCAGATTAACGTCAGAGCAAACGCCCAGCATAGTGTCCCAATTGAGGTACAAGGCTACCACCTCCCGATGCCAATAAAAAGGCTTTCCTTAGAGTAGGCATCAGGCCCATAGTGCCAATACAAAGGCCTTTTCAATTATCAGATTGGTAATTGGAATTCGATTTCCAGAAATTTTGGCCGTTCTGAATTCCCTCCCTTAAGTGCTGCCATTTAACATTGAATCTGCAGCGCACTGATGGGCTAAATCCTGGACACGAAAGGTGGCTTTCCCCTACACTTGCGCCAACCTCGATGCCGCCCCTAATCCAGGCCTAACGGAAGTTTAAACTTTGCAAGTAACAAGGCCGGTGAATGTCACCACACCCTAGTTGTCTCATGTGATTTTCTGGGGCAGATGAAACATTACCGAAGGCCTCATCACGCGAGCCCTGATTTGAGATGTCGTGCTGTCAGATGCGCCTAGTCTTCGCTCCAGGCCTCTCGCCCGAAACAAGCCAGAAGAAGCGAAACCACGTGACTTGCAGTGGTACATGCTTTCAACAATAAAACACTACCAATACACGCATACTTTGCCATGGTGACAACCTGTACATCAAATTACACAAGCAGTCTGGTTCGACATTCAAGTCAAAATGCGATGTAATTGGTGCACACGGCATTCCAACAAAGGACAACAATATCGAAATGCACAATTAGAGAAATCGTGATGCAAGTCTCCTTGGAGTATAATCAGTGAAGGTCACGGCTTGACATCTCTATGCCTTATGTCAACTAAAAACTCACAGCCAATACCTGTGGTAGTTACATTGCGAGTGATCATTAATACTTGTGACATAAGAAGTGTTGCAGGAATAAAGCTTCTTGTTACCAACCAATGGCCACAGAATCTATGCTTATCTGACAACCTGCTAACCCCAGGTAAAGATTCGGCTTCAGTAGCACTGTGACAATGCTTTCTCAATACAAAATGCTCCTCAATTTCGCCATAAGCTCTCACGATTTGTCAAAGACAGGCAAGCATCCAATACGGCGATAGCACTCTACGAACACAGTTGGGCAAATCAACTCACATGCTCCTTGTTATTCAACCGGTTGTAGGGCCCAAATTTGTCTACCGCCCGACCAATCACGTCGCTGATTTTGGGTGTTGCAGATGGTGGGGCAGGTCTTATGACTGGCTGTTCACTTGGCTCAATCGAGACTTTGCCTGCAGATTCCACGCACTCCTTCTCCCACTGCTGTGCGCGAGTGTCTCTCGCAGGGCCGAAGTTTGGAAGGTGACTGTTCGACAGGGCGTCAACACACTTCACTGGTTTGCCCAGTTGATGCTTGGGGATTGGTGGGCTTTGGAAGTTCCAGTGCTCTACAAATCCAACAATCACCAATTGGTGGCAATGATGAAACAGTGATACACAACCGTGGTGCGCACGGCAAGCATCGAACACCCGTGGGACAAGCTGGTCAATGGCATGTCAACTCCAGCAGTTTGCGTCGATTACATTGAACTGGAGTACTGCTTTCAACACAAATGACATGTGATATCAAATCCTAGCTCTTTTCCACAATGTGCAGGCAGGGAACCAGATAAGCATGCATTGGAATGGGACATTTCACTCGACGTTCCACTCAGACGTGTTAAAGTAAATTCGTCCGAATCCCAAGGTACGTAAAGGAGGAATAAAATCGACCTTGGTCAGTACTGCAGTCAGTGAAGCGAACACGTTATTCGGACTCAAAAGCAGCAAGTTGGCCTCTCGACCTCGATTCCTCGTCAAACGAAATCGTCATCTTCTCTGCGTTGTTGTGGCCTGTCTGGTCATCTAGCCAATGAGGGGATCAGCTATTCCCGTCATTCAGTTTACATGGCGTTTTCATTCAACTCCCAGCTATAACAGTCGGCTAACTGTCCTATCAGAAATGTCTGCGTTCTGCAGACTGCCTGAGAACCACGCACATCTCAAATCAATGATTGCATTTACCTATTCTCTGCTGATAACTTGTGAATGCTGACCATGCAGTGGAAAATTCTGCAACCACCAGGACACACTCACAACTCGTGAAATATGTGTTTTGACTGTAAACTGATGGCCGCGCCTAGCGAAATCGAACAACTTTTATTGTTTATCAAGGCACTTTTGTCTGTTGGAAATAAGTGTTTAATTCGACTAAGGTTCCACACACAGCGACTGAATCCTATCAATTCACTTCCATTGATGTTTTCGAGAACAGCGCTTTGGTTTGATGTAGAGTCAGCGCTGTTCTTGAACATGCTGGTTTCTCATCCAGCTAAACAGCCTTGTTTTCGTAATCACCTGAGCCTTTTAAGGCAGCACAATGACGCACAACGTGAGGTTCGTACAGGTGGCTGAAGTTGCTGCATGTTGCTCTGCATTCTCAAGTGCATACCATTCCCATTCAAGGTCATCCTCGACTCAATTATCAAACCAACTTACCTCAAGTGTGTAAGCAAATACATCAGCTGCCACATTGCAGATGCCGGCTTTGAGCAGTTTTGCTGCATATCCAAGTGGCACAAGCGGCTTCATCCCTCTGTGACGCCTTTTCAGATGCTACCCAGTCCAGCTAAACTTGTGCGTGACCTCCAGCTTTCAAAGTGTCAGTGGTAGAATCAGTAAGTGACTTTTACCCAACGAAATCGCCAAGTGTTGAGCGAAGTGGAGGTGGAATATGTCAAGCGGCAATTTCAGCAGCTGACATCGATGAGCAAAACCTAGGTTCACTGGACCTTTACGTTTGCAGCAACAGATATCTGTGCATCTAAGCTAATTTACGCTCTTGTAAGTCAAGTATATATGGAAAGTCGGACGCACGACAAATGCACACCTACCTCCTTCGCGTCCATCCAAGTAGAGGCCTGCTTTGAGCCCAGTCACCAAAAGTCTGAATTTAGCTTTTTTGAAAACTTGCAGCTTTTCGATAAGAACAATTGACAATTGGGTGTGACATTACGGATCGCAGATTAGGTGGGACAATGAATTGTCCGCAAAGTATCCTGTTCGTGCTCGAACTCGGTATAATCAAGCTTCCTAAGGCTTTACCATCAATTTAAGCTACGACTTCATGTCCTGTTTATGCGTTCTAAGTTTTAATCAAACGTAGGGGATATGTGCGTTTTGGATGGGACTTAACATGTTATCGCTGGAGATCCACGTCTCTTGTTTGCATTAACTATGACAGGAGACTAAATGTAGAAGCTAGGTAGCCAAGTTGCACCAACAGGATGGTGAAGTGGGAATTTCAGACCCAAAACTGTCACGCACACTCCTGAGAGTTTTTTTACGATGTCGCGTTGACGCATTCAGGAAAGGTGCTGTTTGTACGTGTACTTTCTTGGCCGCCTTCAGCTCTCGCCTTCACTCGGACGCACGTCAAATTTGCTAGATTCACTTGCCTGATAAACGCAAAGCTAATTGTAATTCGTGCTTCTTGTTGTAATGGTATTGCATTCCAAAAAAATTAAAACCTACAAAATATGGCCGAATAAACATTCTCTGAATTATGGGCTTGCAAAATTTTTGTTTGTAGCCAAAAACATTTTTGCTGGATCCTTATTGGGCATATGATTCCAAGTGAGGGTGACAAAAAACGGGAAGGCGCTAAGTTTTGATAATTAATGGTGGGATTACATATGCGATGTAATCGCAACAAACAATTTGGAGGTATGAGGAACTGGGAATGAGTTCGGTGCAGACGTGTGACATTTACCAAGCAAGCAGCTGCATCTTTTTACAAATTCACAGAAATGTTTTTATACGAAAATTCGAAGTTGCGATGCCGCAAATTAGGACAGCAGCAAGAAATATTTGTGGACAGGAATAAGCGGTCGTCAATTCTTGGAAGAAAATAAAAAGACGGGGGTCGTAAGTGGCGTTTGTGTCACAAAATATTACCTAAAATGCGCAAGAATATAAGTATAATTTAGTTTATATACAGCTTCAAAACCTTTGGATAAAAAAAATCAACGATTTGGTACGACATTATAGATATTGGAATTATTTAAACATTCATATTAAAAGCAATCTAATCGCAAAGTATCGCTGATTGCATAACGACTGATGGAAAACCGTGAATTCAAGTCAATGATACATTTTAAAACAAAAGAAATGCGTAGGGCCTTAATGAAATCCGTTTCATGTAAGCAGGAAAAAAATAGTTATGCTAAAAACAAATTGTTTATAAGTCCAAACGCGAGTATTTTGACTGGACCCTAAAACATAAACTTAGGTAAGTTATGAAAATATTAATGTAAATGAAATTGAGATATAGTTAATATAGCAGCTGGAGACTAAGGGCAATGGGAAAAATATACTTTAATGTGTAAATGCACAAATTGGAAAGCATGGTGGCAAATAATTGTTGTGAACACATTTTATTCCAAAAAATGGGTGCATAAAACTTCCACAGGTTCAGTGCTAATGGTGTTTGAGAAGATGATGTAAATGCTATCAACCCTTTCGAAACATAAAGCTCTGTTGTAGCCCATTGCGAACCTTTAGCCTAGTTGTGTACAATGGTCCCGTCCGACTATCCGGTTGAAATTCAGAACGACTGGGTAACGAGAGAAAATAGTGAAACTATATGCACAAGTTTAAAAACAGTAGTTGAATTTTTAAATAGATTCCATTCATCTTGTCGTTTGAAACTGGCTGAGATGGATAACAGACTAAAAATTCTTGAAAAGAAAATTGAACGTTTAGACGCGCACACAGCCTATAATGTGGCAATTCAGGAACAAATCCAGCGAAATACAACTGCCAATGAAAGACCTGAAGCCTGATTTTTAATCGGCGTTTTGCATTTGATTCAGTCGACTTAGCGATTTTTGTAATCAACTTATTTGCTTGGATGTTCCTTTGTCTTGCTGATGTCTTATTAAAATAAACAAAATTCCTGCGGGCGTTGATCGCTCTTGGTTTGTTACCTTGTTTAGACGGAAAATCAAACGCGTGAACGACACTCACTCAGCTCTGATTATCTTCTAAACTGCATAGCCCGCCGCTTTCTAAAAACGTATTTTTGTTTTCAAGGCGTTTTGTCTACTGAGAATAAGCAAAGGAGTGCCAAATCCATTACCGTGTCAGCCAGCTGTCATCACCATTTAGGTACCTTCACGCCAAGCTCCTCTTTTGTGGAACTTGAATAATGCACTTGCACTACTTGACTACTATCTTTTCCTATGTCAGGCCTATAGATGTTTCGCTGAATGTCCTGATCGTGCACAACACTTGGAGACAACTACAAACAAATGTCGCATTTATCGGCATTTATGTACAAATTATCAGGTTCTAGACAGCATTTTATCAGGAGTCTTCGTCGGAGCTATCAGAAGAATCGCTACTGGAGGAATCACTGCAATCGTTGTCCGATTTTGAGTAATGCTTTAACAAGGTAGCCAAGTCTCCTCCATGATGGTTAAGAAGTCTTGCCATTTCAGAAGTTGAGTGTTGAAGATTACCCAAGAGTTCAGCATGAAGAGTTGGCAAATCACCAAGGCTCGCGTAGGCTTTCACTTCGTCACGGGTCATGATCCGGTGTTGGATAATGCCGCCTAAACAAAACAGGTATATTTGACTACCATTGAGTAAGGCAGAGGGCTCTTCCGTGCAGCCAGACTATGGCGAGTCTCGTTGTCTTTAAAAGGTTCTACTACTTTGTTGTCAATAACCAAATGAATAACTAAAACTGCCAAATGCCATAGTATGAAGAGCGAAGTCTAGATTTGGGAAAAAATTCGCTTCTGGTAAGCTCGTACACTTCAAGAGCTATGAAATTAATGACACGCCTCTCCGTTACCTCTAAATGCAAAAGGTTTTCTAGATACTGACGACGGTAAGGTCCTTCAGAAGTACCTTTCAAACTGTTAAAGATTAGTTAAATTTGTCGTTGCTCGAGTTGAAAACATAGGTAAAGATTAGGCATAGTCACGACTTGCTGTAGATGGACCATTTAAAGCCACTACTTGGTTAAGAGGAAGCAACTCAACGCCCAAGACATCTTACTGACTTCTCCAAATTTTTATCACAACCTTTCGCAGAGAACTGCAATTGTTTAAACATGTTGAGGAACACACATTTTTACTGGAATTAAACACCAAATCCAAGATAGTAGTCCTTTATTTCATGTAGGTTAGCCACTAATTTATCGGAATTGGTGATCCTGTGTGAGCAGGCGGGTAACACCACTTAAAAATGCACTGGTGATATCAGTCATCTCTCTTACGGGATTACGCGGGTAACCTAATCATCAACCACCTACCTGAGCGCTCAGTTTTGGCATGCATAATCACAGAATGATTTAACAAAATTAGTGCAAAACACAAGTCTGCCTGCAGTAAACATGTGAGCCGCGAGAAAGCTGTTTGAACTTTATGGTGTTTTACCAGGATAAGTGATAGTTCATCGGATCGTCAGCCTGTGAACAACCCGTTGGAGGAAGTGCGCACACTGAGAATGAAGATTATACTACCCTCATTTGAGCATTCACGGATCTAGGGCACCTACTTCGGTCTAAGAGCACTTACCTAAGAGCACAAAGAAATGTGCTCGACCTGTTATAGCAAGCGCAGTCGCACACAAGCTTGGATCTGCATCACCGAATAGGTAGAGATTGGGGATCGGCTCCTTAAGCACGGTGTGCGCGAATACTTCCCACTTCGTTCCCTTAGCGGCTTCTCTAAAAGAATTCCAAGCGAATGAAGTTCGCGAAGATTTCATTCGCCAGGCCAACGTTTGGGCTTGTGGTCCAAAGTATTTGCCATTTAGCAAAGGTATACAAGGCAGTGACTATGACCAGATGAGATGGAAAACTACCAGTCGATGCCCAATTTTATCTAGGACAATTAGTGAGAAGCATGTGGACGCGAGCTTGAAAGGCTGGGCACCTAATGCAGCCCCACTTCTGCAAAGTAAAGCAGAGCCAGGATAGTTTTAGAGCAATGGCACTGGGTGAAACGTTAAGGAGCAAATACAACTCGGAACTTGTCTCGTGTGAAGGCATTTTCAGACAATGTTATAGAAGGGGGGACTCACAAAACATGGTCATATGCCTGACACAAAGAAACTTTTATGTGAACTTGTGTCTTTCAGTAATTCGTAGGCAACGTATTACGACTATCATTAGAAAAACTCAGTAAGTTAAAAGTGACATTAGTTCAGTAAATGTATAAATAGAACATGGTGTGTAGGACCTAAGACAGCAGATGCCCCAATAATTCAACATTAAGCAGGAGTAAAGTTGATCGAAAACTCACTTCAAAACTGACATAGGAAACCTCCGAAACCTCAGGCCATTTTCATGTAACTTGTTGAGGAATGGTCTTAGTTCCCAGGGAAAACTATACAATGGTTGAAAGATAAGAATCATTTGTCCCTCAGCTTTATCGTAAAAATCTGTTTTCGCCCTGCGAATCAGGAAATTCCGATATGGATTTTGCTCAGACTGAAAGTTAAAAAAAAACGTCTTTTTATTCAGACCACCACTAATCGAGACAGAGTGAATTTGAGAGTCGCGTTGTGGCCTTACCCTTTTCTGGATTTCTGCTTGCGAAATCAGATACTTTTCCGCCCGCGAGAGTTTTGGCTCACGGTATATGGGCTTGGTGCACTCGCGAAATAGTCGTTGGTCCAATGTTCCTGGAGAAGGGATGTGGCGTTTTCGAAGGGGTTGGTAAAAAGAAGCAAAGAAGCTCGGAAAACGACAACCTCGGTGGTAAACAGACACCATGCCCTAGAAGATAATTTGTGATCTGTTACCAAATCCCTAGCTGCTAGCAACCATACAGCTTAAAGGCAGTCGATTCAAATTTCCCAAATTTCTAGAGAGAAGTCATCAAGTCGTGGTAGAAATTTTTTGTACATCACAGACAACAGCAAGAAAAGTAGAAATGAAATAAAATTAATAGGTAAATTACAGACATATGCATAAGCGAAGATCACGGACTAACGAAGAAGGGAATAACGCGCATTTTTTAATGATGGCGCTTTTCCTAACTTGGCAAAGCCCAAAGACGACGACAATCTACTTGGCGTGGGTCTTCCCGCAGGGAGGGTTTCTACTTCATCCGTGGGAAGTGCCGTTTGGGAGACAGAACGGAGTTGCTCTAGGAAGGATTTTGAATTGTGGACTGTTGATCCACCCAGCAAAATGGTGAGGTCCGGCATCGTTGACATAAGTTTATGAACAGCAAGTGACTCCTCATACGTGGTGCCGCCGAGGATGAAAACTATAATTTTTTTAGCAGGAGATGACGTTGGGCTCCCGAGTCCACAATCCAATGTTGGGAACGATGATTCCTGGAGCTGGCCATGAGCCAAACCACGAATTACGTCAACTAACAGGGGCTCATGTTGAGTGTAAACATTTTCAACGATTTTCCGACCTTTGACAAAGCGCTTTGTGATTGAGGCAACAGCATTTGTGGCGGTGGAAACAGACGGGTTCGAGCCAACGTCTCGGACAGCAGAAAGCAGATCTGAATTTCCAACACGTCGCTGACTGCTACGTTGGTCAGCAACGTGTTCAATAAGGTGAATATCATCATTCGATATACCTCGCTCGATTAATGCAGATGACAAAGCTGAGATTTCACGATGGTTAGAATCGTAACGCAGAACATATAGAATAACAAGGCGGAGGGCATCACTATCTTTTATGCGTTTGTCAGACACTAATGAACGAATCCGAGAGAAACTTGATGAATGGTTACTTTGGCACACAAGTTCCTGTTCAACTTCACTTATTTCCAACAATGAGCGTTCCTTGACTATTCGAGACAACTCTGAAACTATAGAAACGTGCATCTCAACTGTGGCAGAGGCTTTTCGGAAGGCAGGGTAGTTTTCCAAAAGACCTTTGAGGTCAGAAATTGATTTGGCATTCGCGGCATCAACCTTTTTAGTAACGTTTTGAAAGTTCTTTACAAGTTCCTTGATTGCCTGACCGATATCACCAAAATTGAGATACTGGTTTTTTCTGAAGAATTCGTCGAATTCTCTCGACAAAGTTAACTCCGACATTTTATCTGGAGTGCTGGAAGACAAATCAAGATCTACTCTGTTGTTTTTAATCCCAATCAATTCGTGAATCATTGCTTCGTATGTCCATTGAGTAAGAAGAGGTGTAATTTGATCCTGATTTCGATCAAAAATCACTAAGACAGGTGGACGATCTGGCTTGCGAAAATCAAACAATTCCACTTCGCGGGAGCAAAAAGACCTCACAGACTCAGCCAAAATTCTGCATCCGTCAGATGCTTGGTGATAGCGAATTTGAGGAAACCATTGTAAAGTAAGAAGCGCAGCAGTTATAGCATGTGTAGAGCGCGAGATCACCTCGGGTACAACTTCAAAACCTGAAGTAAAACACATAGGCCGGTCGATCGCGAAGAGATGTGGGGAAAGTGCAAGAAAATCAGCGAAGTGTTCCTGGACCTCCATCACAACTTCCTGAGTATCAGCTTCGGCGAGTTGCTTAAGAGCCTGTTTAGACAGAGCATGACTGAAAAATAGAAAGTACGAAGAGTACTTAGGAGATTTAAGCTCCTGTGTTAATAAGGAAATGTTTTCATATGTGGGACGAAGAAAAAATACACCTGTAAGATGCTTAAGAGGATCTCTCGCTGACTTAATACGTTCAACAAGAAAAATATTTTTTTCCATTATTTCTGAAAAGGCCATTGCAACGCTCAAAACACCCAGCGTCTCGTCGTCTAAAACGAGAATAGTCATTCCAGAAGGAATTGAAAACATTTTTAGAAAGTATGCGCGAACTGCTTCGTAGATATCCATCACTACTCATTGATTGGCAGAAGAAATGCACAAACGTTCTATTAGATTTAAAAAATTGAGCCATTAACCAAGCCATTAAAACACACAACCATGATATTTGCATCAAGTCAAACTACTATTTTGAAAATAATATATTATGCAACCGTACAAAAATTTAGGCTTGTATTAAATGCCAATAAAAAGTAAATGTGATATTATTAGCCCGATTCACTAAGGCCATCACAGAAAACTTCTAACTAGACATTTGATAAATGGTTGTAAAGCAAGTTCATTCATCGTCTAAGGGTAAGTTTCATAGCCTTGGTAATTACAACCCAGTAAACATACATATTCTGTATTTTTTATCAAATGCACCTATTCCTCAGAATAAGTATAAAAGATGATCAATTCTTCTTAGAATTAATTTTATGCCACTTAGTGAAGGTTGTTTAAAGAAGGTAAATTTATTCCGAGGATGCAATTGTGGAAAGTAGGCCTCAAAATTAAGGCAGGAATCAAAGTCAAAACTTGAATTTAGATTCATTTCCATCGAGGCTTCGCATTGCAGTTTTATTTACATATGCACATAAGTGCATGGAAATTTTTATCAAACGGCCGTGAATGAACCCATATTAGGATTTGATTGAATGTCATTAAGTGTCAATTATAGTTGGCATCCGATGTCCAATCACGAGTTCTGTTATAAAAGAGTTAGCTGTTAGATGCAAAAAATTGTTATATTTGCATTATCGGTCCTGCATTATTTACCGGGCTGTTACCGACTGTCGAAGCCTCCACATAAGCTCGGTAACACTCATAAATGTTGGTTTGTGTATGTGTGACAAGGACTTTCATCAAAACATGGCATGCTATATGTCTGCCTATTTCACTTCTTATACTCCAAATCAAGAATGAGGTAACACTGTCAAATACGCGGTGTCGTTCACTCAGAGTTGCGTACAATTGGAGACCAAAAGTGGACTTCAAGAAATGCTTCTCTTTAAAAAAAAAACAAAAAACAGAACAACCAGATTTGTGTTAAGAGAGTGCAGTATTTTAGCTAGCTGTTTTTAGATATCTATAACTGCCAATGCGATCACGTGCAGAAAATCTGCAGTTCCATTAAAACTCACTCATACCACATGTTTACGCTGTAAATTATTTTATGGTCTAATACAAGCAAAAAAAGCAGCAATAAAAAAGTCAAAATCAAAATCTCGAATGTGGTTTTCATAAAAGGAAGACATTAAAAATGAATGCACATTTGCTTTCGGCTACAGAAGCTAAAAGTTAGTCCCCATAAAATTCAAAAACTAACATCACGAACACATTTACGCTTTAGCCGTGTCTTGAAACCGCAACCACTACAATCCAAAACGCCTACGCCGCTACCCATTACAACGAAAGCGTCTAATTACACTCGTTATCCGGGCGCGGTATACATTGAGTAGACACCGAGGAACATTAAGGAAAGTGCAATTTGCTGGCCGACTTCAATTCTCCGCATCATTCCGAAACCTGACTTATTTGGTTCTCTTATTTTGCCTGATGAACTTCAATCTAAATGTGATCGGTACTTCTTGCTGTTATGCTTCTGCGTACCAAAGGAACTAAAATTTGCAAAACATTGCCAAATAAACTTTCATGGAATGATAAATTTTTAAATTATTGTAGTAAAGACAATGACATGTTCAGTGGAACTAAATTAGGCACAGATTCACAAGTGAGGGTCGCAAGAAAAGGAAAGGAGCTAAGTTTTGATAAGAACCGTGGAATTACACGCTCGACAAATTCGGAGGCACGAGGAGCTGGGAAGGAGTTGGGTGAAGAAGTGTGGTCTTTGCCCAACAAATGATTGTGGTGATTGTGCGGTCGACTGCCTTGACTGTATGTGTTTTACGAATTCACTGAAATGTTGGTGTGCGACTTAACGGAGTTGTGGTGCGTCAAATTAGACAAAGAGCACAAGGAAGTCGTGCACAGCAACAAGTGGACGTCGATTCTTGGAAGGTAGTAGGCAAATGGGTTCTAAGTGGCAATCGTGGATGTCTGCAGGGTGTTGGTTTGGGAATATTTGTATGTCGTGTGTGTGAATAAGAGGGTTCTGGTGAAGACGATAAAAGTGATAAAATGAGCACGGTTTACCAGTTCAGGACACGCATCAGCTGGGTAGTCTGATATTAGTGAGATGAAATAACATGGTGATTTATCTCTTGAATCTACGACATGCGCCACTCTGTCGAGCAGACTGACGTGGATATTTTGTGACTGGTCAATTGTCCTTGGTACCAACGTCGTCATTCCATGCATAATGTTTTGTGATGGATTAGGATCTTGATGCACACTGATGACAGTGAACGATGAAATTGCACACTTGTCACCCTCTTTGCCTTCCTGTGTGGCCAGCTAGTTAGTTGTGTGTTTCATTGCACAATTGTGATCAAAGTGCATTGATCGGATTCGTGAGCCACCAGAATGACAGCATGCTGATTTATTATGCTAAGTATGCATTAACTTATCCACACAGATAAAATACTGGTTTTTTGAGTTGATGCCACCAAATCCATCGGACACATGCACAGCTACTAATTACTCGGGAGGTTGCAGCATATATTTTACAGGGAAACATGGACATGCATGTGGATCCTTGAATTAATGATTGTCCAAACATACGACAGTTATGTGGCATTATTATCCGATTACTGAGTACGTGCTCGCGAGTTGTCGAATCTTCAGTAGCACAACGAAAATAAATTAGTGTCAGCAGGATAAAATCAGCAGGATATCCTACAGGATGGAATCTCTGGCATTCAATACCCAAATGTGTGTGCCGGGTTTGTGCTTGACGTGGAACTCAATATACTTGCAGAAGCCCCACAGTTTGGAACACAATCTGAATGGTATAAGTGTCCTTGCATGCAAGTATTATCTATGTGTTTGAATCAGATAGAATACATGCAACTAGGGTTACAAGGCAGTGTATAATGCGGTCAGAATTACCGACTCCTCGACATGTCTGCAGATACTATTTTAAGAAACCCGAGTAAGCACACACTGTCGCATGCTTTGATTAGTAGAGCTTTGAGAGACAATATATGAGTGCTCGCATAATCATGGCAGAATGTGAACACGGGGCCAGATCAAAGCGCAACCGGTTGTCATTTCGAATACTCCCATTATCGCCGATATAGATAAGCATGGTTATTTTAATATACCGTCCATATTAGTATACCAAAAATGACGAATGAATAATGCATTGGTGTATTTGGCCTTGAACATTGTATCGCATCGTTGTTGTGATGAATCGGTGCATTTTGCAGCGAAGATGGTTGTAGCATTCGACTCTCTATTTATGTCTTCCTGATTGCGGCAAAATGTTTACTTTAGCCTACGAGCAGTTTGCATGTTCCAGCAGTAGGCTCTTAGCATTGTCACAAACGTACACGAATGCTGCTGTTATAGGTGGGCATTGAAAACTAAATTTGGTTGACCAGTGTCACTTGATTGATGAGATCGTGACCTTGGGAAGATGTGTTGTTGGAAATGTCCTTGCAAATACCGCACACACACACACATTCAAGACTTTGATACCATAATATATTGCTTAGACTGAATGTTTAAATTGTTAATTGCTGTGTTTTATTTGGCAAGGTGTCGTGGCTCGATTGACGTACCTGTCGGTATTCTGGAATATTGGGCCAGGTTTATTAGCCTTTCATTGATCCGAACGTGGTCAAATGTGTCAAAATTTACAAAGGAGAGTAGTGACCAATGGCTATTACTGAAGATCGATGAATCTAGTTTATTTGACAAAACAAACTTGGCATGCAGGTATTTGCATGTTTCTCCCAGGTTATTTAGCATAAAGATGATATATATGTTACAGTGCATTCCACCGAATACCTTCAGTGTCAAACGTGCAAATGCCTACCGCGGGTCCAAATCGCGGTCATGAACAGAAATCCAAAGTGGTAGTGCACTGACTTTCCACTTCACGGCAAAATTCAACGAGCCTGTGTGTTCATGCGCAAAGATGACGCCAGCTTTCCATCCCGGACACTTTGTCGAATGCTTCTGGGCTGCGTACCACAAGTTTAATCCATTTGCTTGCATATTGGTTCCAGTTGCGAAACAACAATGTTGCGGGAATGCATTGCTTGTGTCTCGTCCATATCACAGTCGCAGGTTTATTTGAAGGGACATCAACATCAAGCTAGCGCATGTTCATTCAACATTGTGGGAGCGTGTAGAAACTACAGATGCCTCACCTACGAATCGTCTTCATCAGTATGCATTTGTTCAGGCAGTAGTAAAAGTTTAGCAATCCTCCGCAGGAATACATAAATATGTGACATCATGTGGTTAAATATCGGAAATGACAATGTAAGAATGCTGGCTGATACAAGTAGATTAATATGTGATTAGATACCACAAACTAGGCAAACTCCCTTTCCATAACTTGTTCGTCACCGACAAAAACTGCATCAAAGCGTCTCATTGGTGCAAACGGTGACATTGACCTACGATTGCCGATTGATGATGCGTAAAGTTTCCTGAATTTGTGTAATATAGGTGTGCACGCATGCATAGGTTAATTTTTTGCATCCATTTTTGATTATAAACAAAATTTAACAAATTTTTCCCTTGAAATTAAGTGATTTAACTAGCTTTCTGGCTGAATCGTCTCACAGTTCCGAAAATTTGGCATTTCAGCATTCATGTCAATTCACAGCCATATATTCATGATGTTCTTAGGCTGGTTATCATGGCATCACATATAACCAAGCACTATTTACTGACACTTAGTATTTCCTAAAGTCCAGATTGCACCCCAGCTGGCTGTTGTCCATAACACTCATGTTTCGCTAACAGCTGACATTTAAGCGCCAAACAACATTTGAGGCCTCAAATATATATTTAGAACGCTGCGCCCTTCCACAATGAGAATGCATTCATGTTCAGCATTAGGGAAAATTGTGACT